ATATATATATGTCGCAGAATCAACAAAGATGCACAACTATCGAGTATCGTTATTTTAGAACAACGCCATCTGTTATCATTTGTCGGAAACGTCAAGCAGTGTGCTTGGGTGATGGTCGGTACGGGGCGTGGCATGTTGACATTTGACAGGCGTCACTTTTGAGTTGGACACGAGGGTGAGCGGTTGTTCTGCCAGCCCGTACCGAACTTACCGCGTTTACGACGAATCCGATGACGAAGTACCCCCAATTGGTGCATTTTCTCCGACATGTCTATATTATGGTTATATTTTTACTTATTGCTACAACCTCATGAACATGTAGCTCTGTTTAACTGTTTAATACCCAAGCCATCACCGGTGACCACTCTCCAGCAACTTCATTATGGACTTTATTTCCGATGTTTAGAGACTACTTTTGTATGAACAAATTTTCGGTATGACGCAGTTTAAACCCTAAAAAGTTTTACAAAGATGCAGATTGTATATGACTATGTGACACAAATTTTCCACTAGTTATAATTCTCTGAAAAATTTTACCGGGTATTGAACTCGACACCACTCGTTCGTCAGTTGCATTTGCGATTATTCGACCAATGCGGCAAGCTTCGTGACTGCCTCGTTGGCCAAGTGGTCGCAAGTGCAACTGCCAGGCATGAGGTCTCGGGTTCGATTCCCGGGTCGGGTAAACAATTACTGGGTTAAAAAAAATCTCAGTAGTAGCACGGAACCTGGAATTGTGCCCGGTATATGGCAATAGGGTCACCCCCTATTACATAGGACACATAACATAAATAGTGAAAAGTAGGTGTTACATTGTACAGTGGCAGTAAATGCCGTAATGTGCCTCTGCGTACTCCTTCGGGGAAAAAAGGCGTGATGTTTATTTAAGTTTATGCGGCAAGCCAAATCCTAGTCTTAATAACTCATATTATATTATTATAATCCCTTTTCGTTCTATTACAGACCCAACACATAATAAACTACGACTTTCCGCTGTACACAGCCGACTACATACATCGTTGTGGTCGTACCGGCCGTATAGGGTCACCCAAGGACTGTCTCATCACTAACTTTGTTGCCTGGCCTCGAGAAATCGAACAGGTACAGAAAATAGAACTCTCTGTTAGAAAACACAGTGAGTTACCCAGTGTCAATGCTAATATTAGACGGATTATTGAAGAGAGGGTCGTTAAAATGGCCGGGATTTTGTAAGTAATTACTGTTTACACCTGCATATTGAATTAGGTACTTGCCTTCATCAAAAATAAATTATTTGGACTGTTCAATACAATAAGATATTTAACAAATCACACTTTCATTGATTGATTTTATAACGCATTTAATGTTAGTGTTTTTCTAGCAAATTTTTATGAAATAAGTACGCTGTTTGACGCAAAATAAAAAATCATGACGTCACAATACACATTCTCGTACAATATTCATGGAAAACTGTCGTTCGAAAAAAGTATTAAATTTGAATTGAATTGACTGCACGGTTGGCGCGGTGGCTGGGCAACTGGCTGCCGCTCAACGTGTCGCGGGTTCGATTCCCGCACGGAACAACTCTTTGTGTGATCCACAGATTGTTGTTCCGAGTCTGGATGTCATGTATATGTGATATTGTATGTTTGTAAACGCACCCACGATACAGGAGAAAATCCTAGTGAGGGGCAACGTCTTTTTTAAAAAAAAAATTATAATATTAATAACTATAGTATTCAGGCAGATAATAATATAAATTGTTTCATTGTTATCTATATATGTAGATATGTGTAGCTAAGTATTTAAGAATTTATAACTTTAGTGTATTGTAATAAATTGTTACAAATCAATTGTTGGTATTTATTTTTATAAGTGACTGGCTAGTCAGTTGCCCGGTCAGCTGACTCGGCAGTCTTCGTACCACCTGAAACCTTTTTTTCTCACCGTTTAAACCTTCCCTGGACTTCCACGAACATTTCAAGACCAAAATTAGCCAAATCGGTTCAGCCGTTCTCGAGTTTTAGTGAGACCAACGAACGGAAATTTATTTTTATTTTTGTTCACCAATCATGAACAGTTCTTGACAATCTTCTGCAGGACTACAGCAAACCTTCCTGTGGAGAACGGCATGCATTGATCCAGGAATGTTATGGATAATTATGATTTTTTTTATATGGCACTTATAAGTCGGTAAACGAGCAGACGGATCACCTGATGGTAAGCAATCGGCGTCGCCCATGGACACCCGGAACACCAGAGGCGTTACAAGTGAGTTACCGGCCTTTTGGGGATTAGGAGTTTGAGGATCGTTGGGGTTTCAGGAATTGAAGAGATTGGGTAAGGGGAGGGTAATTGGGCCTGCGGTAACCTAACACACTCGACGAAACACAACGCAAGCGTTGCTTCAAGTCGGCTTTCTGTGAGGCCGTGGTATCACTCCGGTCGAGCCGGCCCATTAGTGCCGGCTGTAGTAATCTCTAGATTTTATTAGAGATAGAAATTTGACAGAAGCTCCATACAAAATGTGTCAAAATTCTATCTCAGTACAAGTTAATCTAAAGATTATAGAAAATGGCCGTAAGTGAAGCTTGCAAATAAAAATCAAGTTTACTTTAAAATCCAATACAAGTTTATTCACACAATATTCAATCTACGTCACACACGATCCCTTTATAGACAATTGAACACGGTGGGACCATCTTATATACAGGGACAGTATCTAGAATACACACTCTAAAAATAAAATACCTTATAACTAAATATATTACTTACAATACTAAAATATTGCTTATAATGAAAGACTACGTATTTTTATCTAGGCTTTGTTATTACAATAGGTATTTGATAGACGCATTCAGAAAAGTTTTGAGATGCCCGCTTCTCATGCATGAGAGCGCGGGTTTCAAACCGCTAACAGTAAGTACCAAATTGACTTCAGAGTTACATGTAGTTTCTAAGATTCACAAAGATATCGTGAAGAAGCCTGGGTTTATAATTTCTATACATAATAGAATCAGGCGTTCCTTTACAGAAATCGATGCTGCACTAACAACTGGGAAAATATTTAGTTTTTGTAACGCTGAAGGAATAAATTTGCAGTACGCAGTATGCAGCACCCTCCCGCCCGCAAATAAACGCTTATGTAACAGAGCTGCGACACAAGGAGTTCTCCTCAGGATGCTCCGTGGAGGAGTGAAAATGTCGAGAGTGGAATTCATGAGTTTTGTGTCGTATAAGTTTGAAATCGTCAACAGGCATTGAGCTAGCGCAGTGAAAGTACTGAAAGTGTAAAAAGGTTACATTTCTACAATCTATGGCTGCATTATCAATATTGTATGGATATCACATCAGAGAAATATTTTATGAATATCAAACTGATGACGGAGTAATTTGTTTCGAGAAATGCAATAAAGCAGTGTATTTGAATGTTTGTTGCAATGTTACAAAGTTCAAAATCTATTTGAACTTTAACAGATTGGATTACCTTAGAGCCGATTTTTCCAACGCCAGATTTTTAACTGAATAATAACTTTGAATATTTGACAATTGTTCCATACTAAAAACTGTCAAATGTCAATTATATTCTACAGTTAAGAATTAACTGATGATTAAAAAATCGGCTTCGTCGCGGAGAACCTAACGGGTAACCCCTCCGGCTCGAAGTTCAGGAGAAGGAACGGGGTGGTTTTTAGTCAGTAAGAGTCTGACACTCCCTCACCCAGGCGGGAGCAGTCATTCGATGATTTTCCCCCCTTAAAAATTTTTTTTTTTATTTCTGGCCTCGGTATGTGATTTAAAACAATGTGTCATGAACTGACTATGTGCTGCTACTTTGCTGTATCTTTATTTCTTGGTGTATTGTATAGGTTTTATTAAATATTAAATAATTACAAATATTTAGTGTTCTTATACATAATCCTATGAATAGTTGATAAACTATCCCCGTATTTTACTAACTGTTATTTAAAAAAAGAGATAAATATCGCAATTTTTATACGTCAATGTAATAATATTTGCTATCTCTTTTCTATATTCCTTGTTAGTAAAAGACAGCGATAAGTAAATATTTTAAGACAAAATAGTGACCAATCTCTACGAATTAGGCTAAGTCTAATAACACAGATTTTCCACACATATATAAAATTGAATATTTACAGTAAATTTAGAATAGATCCTTAGAATTTATCCCTTCTACAATGTGAGTATCTATGTTATGTGGTTAGGTCATTAAAATTCCTTATTTTATACTGAATATCGAAAATACTAAATAGGTCCTTTTTCCTTAGATTTTAAAGAGATGGGAATTTACTTATATCAAAGAATGCTTTGCCTTATCCAAAAAACTAGTATTTCCGGTAAACTCAGCATATAAAAGACCTAAAACAATGAGTTTTTGTTAATTTAGTTTTGATTAATGTATTTACAAACTAATCTATCATTGGTGTCAATTTTCCTTTTTCATTATGAGTTTTACATGATTCTATATCTACACATTTACAAATATTAAAAACTAGATGACTTTCGCAGAAATAGTGAAAGGCTACTCAATTTAAAGTTGTACTTAAATATCGTGCCATCTCTGTCGTTTTACAAAGAATTTGAAGAGACAGAACTATAGATATGTGCGACTTAATTGGGTACTTGCCAACTAGTCAAATTCAGTACTTTTTTCGAACTGTCAAAAACGACAGTTTTTTATGAATTTTGTACGAGATCGTGTATGACGTCACTTTTTTTTGCGTCAAACAGCGTACTTATTCCTTAAAACCTTGCTGGAAAAATACTAAAATTAAGTTGGTTATATAATCAATTAATGAAAGTGCCCATTTTTTAATATTTAATTGTATTGAACAGTCGAAATAATTTATTTTTGATTAAGGCAAGTACCCAATTGAGTGGCGTTTGAGTATTTGTACAATTGTGTAGTAACCTCTACCAGTAAATACATACTATTTTCGGTATGCGTGAGTGCTTCTACAAATCTAGTGTTGACTATAGGATATGAAAGTTAAAGATCTATTTCTAATAGATATTAAAAAAATAAAAATTAGATTTTTTTTATCTTGACGTCCAAGAAATCAATATTAATTTAAGCTTAGGAGTGAGAATGGGAGCTAGCTACGTTATTCCTAAGTATAAAAGATTCCTAGAAGTGACTTCAGGCGATATTTTTATTAAGTAAAAACGCGGGTTACTCACGTGAATATACTGAGAAAAGCTCTACTAGTTTCGAACCACAGAGGGGTTCTTCCTCATGAGCAGCGTGCGCGGTCGCGGCGACGTCGCGCAGCTCACTCCTGAGTGAGCTGCGCGAAGAACCCCTCTGTGGTTCGAAACTAGTAGAGCTTTTCTCAGTATATTCACGTGAGTAACCCGCGTTTTTACTTAATTTAGTATGTCTCACGATAGTTATTATAAAAAGATATTTTTATTCCATATATCTTCGAACGTTTTTGTCTATTGCTTTAAAATAATCTACCAGATGGATATGAACAATTTTAGTCGTCATCCTTATTTATAATAGGTACTAGGTAGGTAACTTGTAGTTTCTAATTTCGGTGTTAGTGTAAATGCATACTTATTCCGTTAGATTTAAAGTAGGTTATAGTATAAATGTAAAACTATTAATATTGCCATTTTTTGAACTTTAAATGTAGGACTGAAATGGCTTTATTTGGACCTAAAGATATGTGATTTTCGTTTCAGTAAAAGTGAATATTAAAAATGTGTAAAATCTCTGTCGAGTCTAATATTAACTAATGTCTACTGTAGTTTCATGATCTAAGTTTTGTATTGTATATGTACTATTTAAAATTGAAAAACTTTCAGCTATTTTCACTTACAGTACAATAGTTAGGACAAAATTACCAAGTAAATATTTACTTGTAGAATGGTTTGAATAGGTACTTATGTTATATGTTATCTTATAAAAAGTGTTGTAAGTATCAATGTAGTTCATAAGTAATGTTATTTCACTCCATGTACTTACAGCTTTCTGTTCTCTTGGTATTATATGTTTCCTTGACTCTACTTCCACCTTGATACAATATGTTAGTTTATTTAATGTACTTAAAGGTAAATTATCCGACTATATTCACACAAATCTACAAAAAATCTAAGAAAATCTTTGGCACATATAATGGCACAGTATAATCAATATCTTACATAGTTCCTCTAGTCCCTGGACGAAGGACCAGGTCGTGCATCCTCAGTGGATTTCCACCTGCTTTCTAAGACAGACTTCCCTTTGGCATCACGGCTGACATTCTGATGGCTGTACCGTCTCTGTTCTTCAAAAACCCTTGCAGTTATGTTGAACACGCTGTCAGCACTGGTCTTCCTTCGAGTGTCAAGGGTGCTCAGACTATTAGCAGCTGACGGTGCTATACGATGAGGGAACCTTGGAGACCCTTTGATCTTCTCACAGGAATTCTGATGAGACATCGGTCTTTGATGCGTCGTTGGTAGAACGAAGTTAACCTTTGTCTCAGGTTCAGCGATATATTTTTGCTGCAAGGGTCTCGGAGGATCAGGATCGTAGGAACAAGAAGGTTCATCATCAGTCACTCGGATAATAGGACCACTTTTCGCGTAAGACTCTCTTCTTAGTTTTAATTCTGGATGGGGCACGTGAAGAGTGTTACAAGATAAGACCATGGAATGTTTCCTGTTCCCTGGAACAAGTCCTGCTATCATACCCACGTGCATTTTGAGTGCTGCTGCTATACTGGCTCCTGTAGGATCCGCTATTGACATGGTAGATGCCTTTCTACTTGTCGGTCTACTGCTGCCGAAGAAACTCTTTATTCTACTGAGTAGACCGGTGTGTTCTTCTCTCTTGTTTAGGCAGAGGTTGTATAGGTCTATTGCTGGTTGGGACTTCCTGTAGTTAAGTTTTGGTTGTGAGCTGAAGCTGACGGAGTTTCGTCCTCGGAAGGCGTCGGTAGATGGCCAGCTGGCTCGTGGTATGACAGGTGGTAGGACGGATAGTAGTAGCATCGGTAGACCACCACTGATGCTCGGTGTGCGTCGGTCACCGTCTACGTGAGCCATGCCTTCTTCTTCAACGGTGTTTAGTTCAGTCTGGAAGGAAGACAAGCAGTTGTAAGAACACAGAAGAAAATAATATTTCTGGCTCTTATGGATATATCTAAGGATGATTTCGTGTACCAGTAACAAATTTATAATGCATTAACTCATAAGATATTCCAAAATTTTTCTCGTATGAAACAGCAAACCAGACTTACCCGTTTATGCAAAGAAAGAGATGCATTCGACCCACTCCCTGAGTCCAGGGGTTCAGCCAGGAGTTTCTCCAGTCTTCCGATCTCCTTGTCTAATGCTGCCACCTCTCTCTTATACACTCTGTTCTGTATCTCTATCCTGAAGTGAAGTTCTTGAGTTTCATCTGTCACAAATCTTCTTGTCTTACATTCTAGTCGCAGGCCCATGCTTTGTATTACTGGGTCTTCTTCAGCTGAAAAAGAAAACCATGTTATTCGTAGCAGTAATAAGTCTCAGCTGAAGTTTAATCACTCATTTGTGTTAGTAGCCGTAATTAAAGTACCCTACCAAAAGAAGTAATTGTAGTGTATCTTATAGCAATTTGAACTCTTCGACTATTAAAAAGGCTTCGAGATAAATCATATGTAATTGTCTAATTTGTGACTGGCGGTTTGTCATTTTATATTGTTCAGGGTGTAATCACTTACTATTACTCCTAATAGCGACAATCTTCGGTAAAAACAGCAAACACAATGTAGACGTAGTAGTTATCAAAATCAAGCTTGTAATCGAGATATAGGCCAGAGTAGCTCTCTCAGAAATGATAGTTCCAATAACCACCACACTGGCGCTGGTGATGACAACGGAGTACACACTGATTCCAATGTACTTGGAGTCGTTTAGAGCCGATATCTTGACGTTTCTGGTCTCCCAAGCCATGTACACCCCTACGATGAGAAGCAGGCCCTTATAGGCGTAGAGGGCACAAAGCCATCCTGTTGTGTTTTGAGATTTGCAGACTTCTATCTGAAAGAGATATTGTAGATTATGTCAATTTTCGGTATCGTACTTAAGAATGTTGTTTTTATATCCGAAGAAAGGAAATTTTAAAGTACCTACACTTTAAAAAAATCCTAATTAGAGATTGGGTTATGAGACCAAATTGATTTTCTTTAAAACGCCAAGACCACAACGTTTTTTTTAGGCAACACGACAGAAGAAAGTACTGCTTCTGGACTTTGTAAAATGTTTCTGTTTCCAATAACTTCCTTAAAGGATCGTCTTACCTGAGGTTGATAAATGACACTTCTGTCAGTCGTGCTGATCTCCGTTGTCAGGTTCTTGAGGTGCCTCTCCATGGGGTCCAGCATCGTCCAGAGCGTGACTATCATTCCATCGATGACCAGTAATGCACATACTAACGATATCAGTGGTGTATCTTGCAGCAATTTGGTTTTACAGACACCACTCCGGTTGCTGGAAAAATTGAGGACATATACGAAGGTAGCATAGATAAGCTTCTAGAAATGTATTTGTCAGATTCACACTCTGTGTCTGGTTCACAGTCACTTTTTATGCTTACCTTATAAATATTCTATGTACACGGTACGTCTTCGCGAACATGGAACCAAAAGCCAAGGAGAACCCTGCCGACAGGATGTAGACTCTGCCCTGGAAGGAGATAGACGATACTTTCACTTGAAAATATACTTTTGAAAATCACTTATTGTAATCGCCGTAATCAAAAATGTAAGTCACACAACGCATTTCTATTGAGTGGAAAACTTTAAAAAGATGGAATAAATATCGGTCCAAATATTATCTACAGATTTGTATGAATAATAATTATACAATCTTCTAAATGAACTTACAGTGCACATAGCAGAGAAGGGCACGTAAGAAGGTAGGGTCGCATTGTCGACACCTAGCAGTGCCACCGCTGTGTAGACTAACACGCAGCCGATCAGCGTCATATTGTTTAGACGAGGAGATGACAGCTTTATTGATCTGAAAATACAGGTTAATAGACTAGATAAGTAACAACTTTATGTAGTAGACAAAGAAACTAGATTTTAGAGTTCATTAGGCTTTTCTGATTTTTTATTTTTTTGTCTTTTTTGAATAGACGGTTTTGTGTTACGCCGTGTGAGTGAAATTACCGAGGCTCAACCCCTTTTCCACAAAGGCCAGTAATACACATGTCGGTTCTCTACTGGTGCAGGTTTCCATTTGCGCTATTAATTGCTTACCATCAGGTAATTCGTCTGTTCGTGTGTCCCGTTAACCCATAAATAAAAATATGGTTTAAGTTATAACAGTATTCGATTATAAAAGGTTCTATTGTGAGTCATAAAAGTATAATACAATTTGGTAAATACTTTATAAAGTCGATAACTTTAAAATACAGTCATGGTAAATAGACTAACTCACAAAAAAATTCACCTTATAATAACTATCGTGGGACATACTAAAGTAACTAAAATCGGGGGTTACTCACGTTAATATACAGTCGCGCAGCTCATGAGGAGGAACCCCTCTGTGGTTCGAAACTAGTAGAGCTTTTCTCAGTATACTCACGTGAGTAACCCGCGATTTTAGTTAAATTCACCTTCGTTTACTATAATGCAAGTTGAACACTAGGAAGGCTAGAGCTAAGGCAACACCCAATGCAGCAAGGGCAGCAACTGCAAGCCTAGCAGGAGGCCACACGGAGTCCACTCTAAGGACCAGCACCCTTCGAGCTGCTGGAACACCTCCAGCCCATTGCGGACGAGCGCATTCAGTACAAGTCATCTCCCTCCCATGGGTGTATAGGGCTACTGTCTTGGGTCTACCACCTGGAAAACAATGGGAGCATTAGTACAGCGCTTGTTTTTGCCGAAAGTTATATGGTTTTTGTATGGTGAGTGTTTCGCTTTACACAAATAAAAGTCGACGACTTGATAATGGACTTAAATAAACGCTGCCCCACTCTAGGATTTTCTCCTGTGTCCTGGGTGCGATTACAAACGTACAAGTTCACATACACATTGTGCCGCTATGAAATTATTAAGCCATATTAAGAATTACGGCATGTATCTGTTAGTTATTATCTTATATTGGGGAAAAATAAGCAATACTGAGAAATGGTAATTAAATAACAAAAAAAGGTACCTTGAATTTGATAGAAAGCAGACGTGCCTATCCTGTCAGCTCCATTGAATGAGACGGGACCCTGGAAGTATCAAAATGTAACTAGAAATATACAAGAAACTAGTAGAGCTTTTCTCAGTATATTCACGTGAGTAACCCGCGTTTTTACTTAATTTAGTATGTCTCACGATAGTTATTATAAAAACATAGAAATATACATTCGAAATAGTTCTAATTAAAAGACATTGTCTCGCTAGATACACCGCTTCACGTAGAACTATACAAAACCAATTTATCTTAGTCTTGCTTTATATGATGCTTCCGTACATTGCACGGTCAGTTTATACTGGTTGTGTATGGTTTTTAGTGTCGCCGTCTGTACATAAATTATCAGAAGCTACGAACTACGACAGTGATGAATTTAAAATTCGATTACCGTATCGAATAAAATATGGATAATGTGTGAACACTGAAATCAAAGAATAAATTAAGAAGAGAGACAATAAAATTACAACCGTATACTGAAACACATAAGGCAGTGTCTGAATTAACAACATTGTGAAACAATTTAAAAAAAGAACAGACGATGTAATTGGGATGATGACACTGACAGGGTATGAAAATTAAAAATCTAATTAGTCCGTGAGTTAGGTAATGAAAAAATATCAGACACGTATTTTTTATTTTGTCGTATAATAAAACAATACTTAGATAAAACGAAACAACGATAAAGTTTAGGAGTGGGGGCTAAAACGTCATTTCAACGTATAAAATGTACATAGAAGTGACGTCACGCGACATTTCAAATCAATATATCGCCGAAAGTATTCGTTTCTGTAAGAAAATAAAAAATACGTGTCTAATGATTTCAAATAATCTACAAGACGGACATTAAAATAAAAATTAGACATCTACCCCATTATGACCTTATTCTGAAATATATAAGGTAAGAAGTTTGTAAGCCTTGTCTTATGGAAATTCCCAGAACTTTGATCGTCAAATTAACCTTAGGCGGTAGTGGGCGTTTTCTATAACATAATATTCAAGTAAATATATAGGTATAATTATTAACAATTCACTAATTCCTAACTTGTTATCGACATCTGTTCCTGAATATTCAAATGTATGTTAATTCCGTTTCACTCCATATGCTGGCAGTAATTTATTTGACGTAGTTAATCCTGTAAATGCGTTTGAGAGTTCTATTCTGGTAATTTGACATTAATTTGTGATATTTCGAATATATTTAGTTCGAATATTTATTGTTCGTGTTCAATTTACGTATTCCGGGGATTTCTAGGTTTTAATTTTAACCCTTTAGCTCACAACGACAAGCCCGCTCAACAGTCAGGGTAAGAAAACTAAAAATCGAATTAGTCTGTCAGTTTTTTTTTATACTTGATAGGTCGACGTTTTGTCTCCATCTTGCCTGGTGGTAAGCGATGATGTGGCCGATGATGGAGCACGCCTACCTATGAGCAACCTGTTCACTCGGGACTTGAAGACACCCAAGTTATATTTGTCGGGAAACACAGATTACGGTAAGGAATTCCATTCCTTTGCAGTTCGCATAAGGAAGCGTGACGCAAAACGCTTTGTGCAAATGGGTTGAATGTCAACCAAATAAGGGTGGTTATAGTTATATTTAAATAAAGAAACAACATTAAACATGCAGTTTTTTACATAACATAACATCACGCCTTTTATGTTTTTTTTTTTTTTAAGCGGAATTGTGTCCGGTATATGGCAATAGGCCCAACCCCCTTTTACATGGGACTCATAACATAAATAGTGAAAAGTGGGTGTTACATTGTACAGTGGCATTAAGTGCCGTATTGTGCAACTTTGCCTACCCCTTCGGGAATAAAAGGCGTAACGTTATGTATGTATGCAAAAAGGTTAGTCAAAATTATAGAATTACCGAAACTCCAACAAAACTAAGGTTCGCGAGCTGATCCAAGAACTCCTTCGCCATATCCTGTCTATCATAATCAAAATGGCTGAGTCCAAGTCTTGTAGCATTCGTTCCATTACTGCTCTGGTCGCCCAGAGATCTCCAGAGTTGTTCTGCTTTGCTTAACGCTAGGGCTATGGCCCAAACTGCATCATAAGTTTGTGGAGCGTAGGGGGAGACCGCAACTCCAGCCGCTTCCATTTCTCGGTGGAAATTTTCATTGGTCTGTGGAAAAACAAAATTAGAGTTTGTAGTCTTTATTGGTATATCAATGTTTAATGGTCTTTTTGTGCACAACCTGTTGAAATATCGTACCCCAAATTTGTTCATACAAAAGTAGTCTCTAAACATCGGAAATAAGGCCTATAATGTAGTTAATGGAGAGCGGTCTCCGGTGACCGCTTGGGTATTAAAGGGAGTGCTGACAATCAGCGCCGTGACTCAAGCTTTTACCATGTAGGTATTTATTGTTTTTTTTACTATTTAATTGTAATTTGACTCTCTTCTTTCTTTCTCCTTGATATCAGGATATTAAAGCGTTTCATATCCTGTCATCATTCCCATTGTAATGTGCCCCTCTGCCTACCCCTTCAGTGATAAAAGGCGTGTGTTATGTTATATTATGCTATGTTGTGTTATGTTATGTTATGTTAGTTGTCGAGAATGAATATGTGCTTTAGGATAACTAACGTCTCCTAATTAAAATACTGTGATCCATCCAGTTACATCAGTTTTTATTCATCAGAACCTTAACTTGTTGCCCAGGCTTATACAGAGTTCTGTAAACATAAATGATTAAACTTTGGCCTTCCGATGTGCTAACCACTACAATTAGTGCTTGTGGTTTAACGACCTGATTAGTCTGACCTAGGTATAGTGTGAGTTACGTATGATTTACTAATAGTACTGGTCTAAACAACAAAATGGTTTTTGTTATTCGTATTATAGCATAATAGCTCAATTTTTTGTAATAACTACTATAGTAAGACATACAAACTAAAAATCGCGGGTTACTCGCGTGAATATACTGAGAAAAGTTCTACTAGTTTTATTTCAATTAAACCATAATTTGGTACTTTTGAAACGTCAACAAATACAAAATAAATAATAGTATGTTAGTCAGTCCGTCAGTGAAGCTAGGTGAAGCTAGGGAGTAGCTAGGGTAGAGGAGCTCTTCCTCGTGAACAGCGTGCGCGGTCGCGGCGACGCGCAGCCTACAGCCTAAAACCGCAGCCTATAGGATGCGCTACATCCCGCGCCTTTTTTTTAATTTTAAGAAAAATCCCATTTATTATGGAACAAATATTTTATTCAATATCGGGCTCAGTTCTAGATACTGTGCCGTTAAAAGCCTGCCTGCCCGAGAAATAGCGGAGACTCCTTGCCCAACAGTAGCGTTTTATAGCTAGCGCCACTTAACCAAAGACACCGTCAATATTAATATAATATCGATTGAGAAGAAACAAAATATATATAAAATAACATCACGCCTTTTATCCCCGAAGGGGAAGGCAGAGGTGCACATTACGACACTTAATGCTACTGTACAATGTAACACCCATATGGTATGAGTCCCGTGTGTGTCCCGGGGCTAAGCCTATTGCTATATACCGGGCACATATCCAGACTCCATGCTACTACTGAGATTTTTAAAAAACTCAGTAATACTTTGCCCGATCCGAGAGTCGCACTTGCGACCATTCAGCCAAATGAGGCTGTCAACAATCCGTTTGAGAATATTTATAATAAAATACACAATAACCCTCATTCAGACTGTTGGATAAGAAGTGTACTTAATACAGAATACTGCCTAACTATGTGTGTCCGAATATTTAATAAACTGCCGATAACATTAAAAATACTCAACCTCAGACTGTTTAAAATTATTATATATAGGTATGGTTAACTCAATATAATTTTTATAGTATTAAGGTATTTTTTGAACTAGATAGTAATATAACTATAACTACGTGTGTAAGTTAGTTAAAATAAGTTATAAGTTAAAATTTGCATGCTTTATTTATTAAGCAAAACATGATGATCTATTATATTGTAACTATAACATCTTTGTATACCATGTTTTTACGCAAATAAATGTCGTTATCCTTAAAAGAAAAATTTCATTGGCCACAATCAGGTGGAATGCAATGAATAAAGCATTACTCGACGGAGAATACGTCTTTGTGTCAGTTGTATATCTTCGTGATGTAGGAACGCGGATAAATAAAATATCGCAGCTTACGGCGGCAAACGGTTATTTCGGGGGAATCTGTGCTAGCTTGCTGTATAGTGAATTAGGTATCTAAGTGGTTTTTTGAAAATAGACGATATAAATACTGGTTTTCTTTCTAAAACTTGGCTCTTCTGTGTTGTAGTTGCGTTTTGAAATATTGTAATTAGCGTTCTTGTAATCGCATGTCACATGCATGACGATTACTAGACGAGTGCTTGCATCTTGCGGCAAAACAAAACTGTCTACTCTGCGTCATTGGACGAATGCGTGCAATCTGCGTGGACACAGTTGTAATTGTCTATATCCAAGATGCAAGCATTTAAAATTTTCGTCTTGAAATCATCATGCAATCGTCAATTGACGAAAGCGTGCGTATGACGTGCAGTTACGTGTGATAGTAGGCGACTTTGCGCAATATGGATATTACAGTCAAATGCGGAAGAACATTTTAAAGTGTGGGAGAGCCATACTTCGGCACGAAAGGGCCGGCTCGACCGGAGTTATACCACGGCCTCACAGAAAACTGACGTGAAACAACGGTTGCGTTGTGTTTCGTCGCGTGAGTGAGGTTACCAGAGGCCCAATTACCCCCCTCCCTAGTCTTCCGAATCTCTGAATCCTCCACAAACCTCAAATTTCCAATTCCCAAAAGGACGTTAACGCACTTGTACCGCCTTGGTCTTTCGAGTGTCCATGGGCGGCGCCGATTGCTTACCATCAGGTGATCCGTCTGCTCGTTTACCGGTTTATGCTATAAAACAAAAACAATTCATAGATGCCTCAAAGAATTGTTCTGTACGAAAATTTAACTCGCGACACGTTGTCAGCACGTTACATTTTCACCGAGTATCTAACATCATAAATGCATACCGAAATAGACAACTGACTTCAAAAGATATGTGGACCTTTGTAGTTGTTTCGATATTTCTTCTCAAAGTTAGATAGAGAATACCACCTTGATATAGCTAAAATATTGACGTGAAAGTGCTACTGTGTAGGATCATTGTGTACTGTGTACTTACAGAAATAAAAATTCATGATGTTTTTGCTACTTTTTGTACTTGACTAGCTTCTGCCTGCGGTTTCGCCCGTATTGCTGTGGGATAAAAAGTAGCCTATGTGTTACTTAAGACCATAACTTACCCCTGTTCTAAATTTCATCCCAATCAGGATAGTCAGCGCATGCCTACTAACTCGCAAGCGATGATGTGGCTGACGATGAACCACAGAAACTCAGACTAAATAACTATCATAGTTAATATATCTATCTAATATACTTTAATATACATATTATATTCACCTGTACGCTGAGTGAGTTCACGCAGGTTACGTGCTACATCGTATTTCTATTTTTATTTTACAATTTTAGGAAAACTTACAGCTAGGCATAACATAAGCATAGATTAAATTATAGATAAACGGCCAATAACAAGTTTCCGCTTATAGGTAATTAAATTACTAGTTTAAAAAGACAGCATATGACGAAACAAAAAACTGTTTTGAAAAACAAAAAGAAATAAAATATTATGTTTGAAAGAAACTTGAAGACATTAATTTCTTTAATCTACGTACGCTAATGTGAAATAAATCTAAATCAATACTCCGGCACTCTGAATCGTATGTCCGTCGTCGTCGTCCGTATGAAGTCGTATGTATGAATTTTGTCTATAAACAGTGTTGGTAGACGGGATGTTGAGAAGTACAGGTTTGCGCAGAAAGTAGAAGGCACACGCAACCCTATTCTGTCCACCAACTCCGGTATATCTTATGAGCCATTTACTATATTGAACAGGAATGATAAATCTGCAATTTTACGGCGCTCACATAATGGAAGGGTGTGAAACTGCTTGCAACGATCTATATAGTTATTGATGTAGGTTTTAGAGCGAAACTGGATGTACCTAAGAAATCTCCTCTGAATACTCTCGACACGATCTACATATATGGCGTAGTTAGGATTCCAAATCTGGGAGGCGTATTCCAGGTGACTGCGGACGAACGCACAGTATAACATTTTTAATGTTTTTATATTATGAAATTCAGAAGAGACTCTGAAGATGAAACCCAAAGCCTTAGATGCCTCATTCACTATTTTATCTATATGGGTATCAAAAATTAGCTTTGAGTCAAAAATCACACCAAGGTCCCTAATGTTGTTAACTCTGGATATTGTGCACCCTGAGAGTTTGTAGTCATAAAGGACAGGACTCGGTTTGCGTGTGAAAGTTCATACGAAACATTTGGAAACATTTAGGTCCAGTTTGTTGACGACACAGTACTCCTGAAAGTTATCAAGATCCTTCTGCAGAGATATTGCATCTAATTCTGTCCTTATCGGTCTCAGTATCTTCATATCATCTGCATAAAGTAGTATTTTAGAATTTTGAAAACATGCATCAATGTCATTCACAAAAATATTGAACAATAGGGGTATGTAGATAATGTACTTTTTTTTATTTATCAAGGACAGTTTTTAATGTAAAATTACTTTGTCGCATTAGACATAGTCTGTAATGACAATTGTAATATGTGTGTGCAAATAAACAAATAACCACCATCGGCTCTATGAATAATAGTGATGGACGACGCCTGGAAGTCAAGTCCATCCCTGCATTACAATGCAGATATCAGTACATTCCGTGTTCAGCTCCCGGCGATGTCGTATTTTGCATTCATTATACGATTCAGTCTCTTTTCGAATGAACGAACGAGTGAATAATAAATACTCGTATGTCATTCAATTAAAATCGCGTTTGTACAAGAGCATTATGCTATATGCTACATTTTTATTATCCGTTAAATTTTATTTTGAGTCTTTTATATGAAAAAATATTATTTTCGTTGTAGTTTTAAAATGCAGAGCAAATAATTGTTTTCGTTTGTGGATACTTTCGTATTTTTATTTCATTTTAATTGTTCTTCTTTCTACAATTTTTCTACCTCTACCTCTATAATATCTATATTTTTTTGTTAATTGTTAAGATATTTAGTATCAACACCTATTTTTATCCAACATCGTATCTGAGTGATTGATAGCAAGATTATACATAGTTCCTAGTCCATACTAATTACTATGAAGAGTGGAGTGAAAAATCTTTATAGAGTAAGTAGAAAGTCACTTAACAAATAGATATTTGTCCAACTCAAGATTAACAATATTTGAAAAAGTTCTCAATACTTACCAACCCAGAAATAGAAGCGGCATCTCCAACGATGCCTCTGTGCGCAGTCACGGTGACCAAGCCTTCGAGCGCACGCGCAAGCTGTGGGCGGGCACAGGGCGGGGCGCCGCGGATGCGCGGGGGCATGCCCGATACTAGCCAGGCATACTCCGCGCCGAACATCCCCAGTCTGAACGCCTGCGATCTCAGAAATACCACACACTTACTACCGAAGGCTGAGAGACATTAGTTCTATAGAAGTTGTTGCATATACGTCGAAACAAATTAAAAAAAAACAAAGAATTGTAAGTACGTTATCTTTATTGTGTTTGTCTATGTATGTAGACGAGAGGTTGATATGTGCTGCTAATTGTGGAAGTGGCAACAGCGATGGGTCTCTTGAATTCGATGCTGTGTTCCGCGATAAGTCGTAATTATGTCATACGTAGAGGTAAATTAATGTATAAGTTTTTAAATATAAATCTCAATAATATAGGAACTATCTAACTAATTAATATTGTAATAGTTTAAGTTTATTTTTTGTATCTCAAAATGTAAGTATATGGGTCTCGCTGTAAACTCGCGTTTTAATGTAAATAAATAAATAAAGTATAAGTGTTCATATTAGTTAAAATATTTATTGTTTATCTTAAATCCGACTCACCTCACAGAATATTTTCGGTATCATCTCCTGTGAGAAGCTGCCGATGATGATACGGGTGTCCAGCTCCTGGTAACAAATAAGCAAAGCAAATGATTATCTTCTTCGATGTACAAGGTGTTGTTGTAAAGCCGCGTCATTTTCTAGTAGGTAACTCGGCTATCCATTCTGAGTCGGAATCATTGTAGGTAAATATTTTTAAGTTTTCTGTAACTATTACGGAAATTCGTAAGTGCGAACTACACGCCGCCGTCTTGTAACTAGTTTTATAACGTGGCTTAACACACACAAACTCAAACACGTAATTGATATTATTCCTAATTCTTATTCGGAAATACTGTCGAACTTAAACGATTTATTATAGCCGTATTTTTAACTATTGGCCCGAAACTTTCTCTTACACCTTTATGACTTCTGAGATATGCCCCCGAGAAATAACACGGTTTCAAAACTGCACCTTGTATAACAAAAGATTAATTATATTCATAAGTGGGGAAAATAACATTTAAGTCATCATATTTCATATATGCACCTAAATATAAAGTCTAAGTCAGAGACTTACAACCGTGAATATTATAATATAATTTTAATAGTGATGATGAAATTACTGTCGGATTTTTTTTTTATTTTAAGTGGGGAAAATCATCGAATGACTGCTCCCGCCTGGGTGAGGCGGGAGGGAGTGTCAGACTCTTACTGACTAAAAACCACCCCGTTCCTTCTCCTGCACGTCGAGCCGGAGCCCCGGTTACCCGTCAGGTTCTCCGCCAAATCACTGTCTGATAGGTAGTGAAAAATCGATGTTACACCATAATGTTTCGCTTTTTGTTTCGAAGAATGAAAAGTGTGCATTGGTTTAAAACCTCTTAGGAATTAAATAGAAAGGTATATATTTAGGAAACAAAGATGAGAGACTTTTGCCATCTCCTTTGGGAATCATAGCGTGATCATATATCAAGTGCGAATCGTTCAATGTCAGAGCTCTTCATACAAGACGGTAAAGGTATAATCATTTCCAATTTGATATGACAAACCACAAAGAGAGCAAAGTAGAAACTTGTGTAACTGATATTTTTGTGTTACTAGTTCTTATGTGTCTTGGTGGGGATGTGTGGCTTGAATTATTATAAGGAAGTGTTTACTTGGACTTTGTTCATAGTTTTTCTTTATAGAAGTAGAATTTTAGATGTCTGAATGCTAACGCGTAGTGCTCACTATTATTGGGTCAATTTTTTTTGGGTATTTAAGGTTCTAGTTGTAGATTATTCGTTATGTGAAACATGGGATTATGTGGATGCAGGTGGCGAGTTGTCGTTCAACGTGGAGGACTAAGGGGGAGGCCGTAAAGCAGTGAACGTCTTCCGACTGTTGATGATGATGATCTGCCCACCAATGTGCCAATTGACTGCACGGGTGGTGCGGTGGCTGGGCAACCGGCTGGCGTGCAACGTGTCGCGGGTTCGATTCCCGCACGGAACAACACTTTGTGTGATCCACAAATTGTTGTTCCTGGGTGTCATTGTGTATGTGAATTTGTATGTTTGTAAACGCACCCACGACGTAGGAAAAAAACCGAATTTGGGGCAACGTTTAAAAAAAAATGTCACAATGACATTACCACAGTATGGTGAACGAGTGCGAGTGTGGGCACGTGCGGCAGGCATAAGATCTCTAGCTGGATCCACGTCTGTGTCGATAGTATAATACGAACTTTTTCGACATAAATATATTAACACTAGCTGTTGCCCGCGACTTCGTCCGCGTAGAATAATGACTTCTGGCAGAATTTAGGCTTTTGAATTAGTTTTTATCAAGGGATATTCTACGGTAATGAATGTCGTCAGAATTGATTCAGTCCCGTAGATGATAGCGTGATAATATGTAGCCTATATGTTTACCAGACTTGTTAGTAATATTCATGCAAAATTTGAAATAGTAGTGCAGTACTTTTTGAGATCATCACGGCCATACATACAGACAAACAGACAAAAATTCTAAAAACCACATTATTGGCTTCGGTATCGATTAGAGATCACGCTTCAAATATTCTTTTAAAAAATATTCAATGTACAGTTTTGATTTTTCTACGATTTATTATATGTGTAGATAGCTGTTGCCCGCGACTTCGTCCGCGTAGATTAATGACTTCTGACAGAATTAACCAGAATCAATTCAGTGCCCAAGTAAGATTTACCTATTTTGAAATGATTTATCGTAGTTTCAATAAATAAATAATCCCGCAGGGATCTTACCAGTACAGTGCCCGATCACGTAAGGTTTGAGTAATAAAAACTATTCTATCGACTATTGTTGTACCGAATCTCTCTAGAATAAGTTCAGTGGTTAAGAGTTAGAGAGTCCTGGGGCATTGACGCATAGTTCCCGTTCTCGTGAGACATCTGTGAAAAAACTATCATACGTTACCCAGGTCCCAAATCATCGTTTTACCGAATGTAATTCAAAAAGATTCAATGATTCTAAATTCAACGGCTAAGAAGATTTATACAAACTCTCATTCCCTATTTTATCCCCTTAGGGGTGGAATTTATCAAAATCCTTTCTAAAGAGATACCTATGTCATAGTAACTTTATGCATGCAAAGTCTCAGCCCGATCAATTTAAAACTGGCAAAGTATCATACTTTGGGGTGAGAATGTTCAAAAACCTTTCTAAAGGGACGTTTACGTCATAATATCCATCTGCACGCCGAATTTCAACCCGATCGGTGTAAAACTGACAAAGCCTCACACAAACGTTCATCCCCTATTTTACCCCCTTGGTGGAAATTATCAAAATCCTTTCAAAGCGGATGCTTACGTCATAACATCTATCTGCATGCCAAATTACAACCCGATCGGTTTAAAACTGACAAAGTCTCATACAAACTTTCATCCCCTTTTTTACCCCCTTGGGGGTGGAAATTATCAAAATCCTTTCACATCGGATGCTTACGTCATAACATCTATCTGCATGCCAAATTTCAACCCGATCAGTTAAAAACTGACAAAGTTTCATACAAACTTTCATCCCCTTTTTTACCCCCTTGGGGGTGGAAATTATCAAAATCCTTTCTTAGCGAATGCCTACGTCATAACATCTATCTGTATGCCAAATTTTAGCCCAATCTGTCCAGCGGTTTGGGCTGTGCGTTGATAGATCACTATGTCAGTCAGTCAATCAGTCAGTCAGTCAGTCAATCACCTTTGAATTTTATATATATAGATTTTGAAAGTTTCTTACTGCACGTTTAGCGCGGTGTCTGGGCAACTGGACGCCGCGCAACTTGTAACGGGTTTGATTCCCGAATAGAGCAACACTCTGTGTGATCCACAAATTGTTTTATCGGGTCTGGGTGTGACGTGTATGTGAACTTGTATGTTTGTAAACGCACCCACGACATAGGAGAATATCCTAATGTGGGACAAAGTTTATTTAAAACAAAAAAAAAACAACATCGAGGCCCGAATCTATCAACTTTTCAATGAATACTATAACTAGCAAATAAGTATACTACAAACCAACTGTTTGTTCTTTCGTTACATTATAGAAGAAAAAAAAAACGTAATCAAGAAAACAGCACACGTTTGCATATCTAACGAAGTATAGAGAGTAAATAATACAGTGTCTGCCTGTGTTTGTCTGGATTCTACTTCGCTTAGCACAGGAACGAACAAACAGGTTTATATGTATTGCATATAAGACTAACGATATAACAGGTATGTATTCTTGTATGTATGACTTTGGAAGATCAGTCAAGCTAAAACAATTGTTACATTTATGCATTGAACTCTGCTGAACTCTAATAGAAGGTTGTGCGTTAAAACAAAAATCTTTTTCAATGTATCACCCACTTTGTTCCTTTTTGGTATTAGTCCTAGATAACAGGTAAGTAGTTTACATGATTAAAATTAAATAATAAATAACTTTACTTGGTAACGGATTTTTAACATTATTAATGGATGTGGGGAATCGGTCAATTTTTTTTGAGGGGACAATCATCCAATGGCGTCTCCCGCCCGGATGAGGCGGGAGGGAGTGTCAGACTCTTACTGACTAAAACCCACCGCGTTCCTACTCCTGCACTTCGAGCCGGAGCCCCAGCAACCCGTTAAGTCCGCGGCTTCATATCGGCATCAGCCTTATTGGGCCCCATCAAGCGCCCGGAACGCGACGCACCGTACGCTCGGGTCTGGTTCTGGTCGGACAGTGGGTAACCAGTGCTCGCCGTCCAGATGCAACCAGTGCAGACCCGTGCTTATGGTGGTCGGAGATCATTTCGCGATCCCCGACGCCCGATGTGTCTCTCGCGACGGCTGGAGCGTGAGGAGGTTCGTTCTCTCACGCGCTCCGCCTCCTCGCTAGCATGACTGCTTTGCAGAAGGAAGAGACGGCATCCTAGTCCTCGCTCTATACCATGGTCTGAACCAGAGCCAGACGCGAGAGGTCGCCGTCGCCGATCACTCGCCGTTGCCGATCATGATCGGGGAATGCCATGGCATTCAATACTAATCCATCATAATGAATGAAAATCCGTTCACAAATTAACAGGAAATAATCTATATTATAAGTTTCGTGAGACGTACTAAATAAATTACAATGTTTTCGGCTTACTCACGTAATTATTTGACATAAAAAAAAACAGTCGACGACATATAGCAGCGCGACAGTCACCGCGTCGCAGGTCGCGAAATGTTGCTCATGAACATGAGCTTCTTACTAGAGGCTCGGAACTAATCGAATTCCTCTTCAAATTATTACGTGAGTAAGCCGAAAACATAATAATTTATTAAGGAAATAATCCAAAGTCTCTCAATAATAATAATCCACTCCAAAGTTAACTCCAAAACAATAGATTCATTTAGTTTTAATTACAATATCAAAGAGAATGTTTAGAAACCACAATTATTTGATTAATTACTGTTCACTTATTAATTGTAGAGAATGCTTTTATCAGTGGTTTACAGTAGCTGCTGTGTTGTGGTCGGTGTTAACAGTGGGTAAGCAAAGTTGTAACAACTTTGGCTTTGAGGTATAAACAATGCTCGGCTTTAAACTGGTTTTTGGCTTGAAATTCTTTAATATACTGATTTTTTAAATTTTGGTTTGCGAATTACTTTTGTACTACAGATCGTTACGACTTTTAATTTTCAAAGGGGTAGGTGAATGTGCACATAGAATGTAGCAACACGCCCATTATTTTCAAAGAAGGGATTAAAAAGCACTTAAAATCAGTATATCCCAGTTTGATTTGTTACTAGCTGTTGCCCGCGACTACGGCCGCGTAGATTATGAAGTTAAGAACATAACTTCAATTTTCCAAACTAAAGTAGCCTATGTTACTCCTTAGTACATTAGCTGATAAAAGTCTTGCATAATCAGCCCAGCCATTGCAGAGATTAGCCAGTACAAAGAGACAGACAGCCAGACAAAAATTGTAAAAAATGTTATTTTGGTATGTGTATCGTTTGTATATTCATATGCATGTAGTACATGCATGCATGCATGTAGTAAAGCGGTTATTTTAATATTACAAACAGACACTTCAATTTTATTTATCTGTAGAGATGTTATAAATCCCATGTAATAAGGGTGAAACTATTATTACTATGACCATTACTTAAAATAATTCCAGATTACCACATTACTGAAGCGAAAAACTGAAAAACTTGGTATGTTTACCCTGGAATCGAACCCCTTGCTTGGCAGTCGCACGTGCACACTCGACTAACGTGGCAGTTTATTTTTTTATAATACCTATCGTGAGACATACTAAATTAACACAATATCACTGGTTACTCACATAAAAATATTGAGAAAAGCTCTACTGGTTTCGAGCCACAGAGGGGCTCTTCCTCATTAGCAGCATACGCGGTCGTGGCGATGTCGCGCAGCCTTTCATCTAAAGCTAGAGCTTCTGTTATAGTATTTTCCCGCGAGTAACTCGCGATTTTTAGTTGTCGTGGCATTTTATTTCAGTACCGGTAATAAATAAGTATAGATAATAATACCGCTACTTACAATTCGGCGTCAAACAACAGCGACCTTTAGTGATGCATAACTCAATTACACTCCGCACTCCTGCCTGACTCGGAAACCACATCGCCAAACAAACACAACCTACGAATGCACTCCACTCGTCAACGAGTTTATGCCCCTACCGTGAGTTAAAGTAATTGGTTAACTAGTCAAATTAAATACTTTTTTCGACCTGTCAAAAACGACAGTTTTCCATGAATTTTGTATATTATATTATATTGTGACGTCACGTTTTTGTAGCATATTTATTTATTAAAAATTTGCTGGAGAAATACATTATTTAATGAAAGTGATAATTTTTTATTATTTTATTGTATTGAACAGTCGAAATAATTTATTTTTGAATAAGCAAAATACCCATATGTTTTGTCGATACTCAATAGCGAAAATGTCATCAGCATCATTACCTTCAGCTTGGAAATATCCCATTGCTGAGCAAAGGCCGCTTTTCACGTGGATAAGGTTTATAAACCACCACTTTGCCCAAGACGGATCGGCGATTCAAACTTATAATTTAAAATTATAACTTTAAGTTTCCTTACGATATTCTTACTATACTTTGTCTAAATAATCTTATTGTTACTTTTTGTATTGTTTACAAAACAAAAAACGCCGTTCCGGAGCCTGTAAAGTGTAGGAGAGCCATGCTTCGGCACGAATGGGCCGGCTCAACCGAAGCGATACGGCCTCATAGAAAGTCGACGTGAAACAACGCTTGCGTTGTGTTTCGTCGTGTGAGTGAGGTTACCGGAGGCCCAATTACCCCCTTTCCCAGACTCCACAATACAAAAAGTAATACAAAAATCAGGCAATGTGACAATTGCCTAATTTCGAACTCTGTCTAAGAAACGATAACTTACGAAACTAAAAAATTACAAAAACATGTACGTCGTCGCTATCGAGTATCAACAAATATTAATGCCTCAAACTCATGGTAGAGGTTATGATTGATAGTGACAACATCGACAGTGATTGGGTTCGAGTCACAGCTGGAACTAATTGAGGCACATAACTGCATTGTCTGTCTGTGTCGTTCGGACGTCTGATTTATACCTTTTTAATGTGGTTGTAACATTGTTTTGTCGAAATATTTGCATGCATCCCATGTACTAGGAACATGAACATAAAAGATAAAAGTATTGCTCACCCACGAGGAGCAACGTAAAGAGCGCTAAGTGGGCCAGTTTTATAAGTACCAAAGTTTATATCATGCACGAGTACAATATTCAACTTTAATGCCTGTTCTAGTGTTGATAACTTTTTGATTCAAAAGCCTTTAGATAGGAACAATATATTTGATAAATGCGGTCGTCAGGGTGACCGCATTTTTTTTGAGGGGGGAAAATCATCCAATGACTTCTCCTGCCCGAGTGAGGCGGGAGGGAGTGTCAGACTCTTACTGACTAAAAACCACCCCGTTCCTACTCCTGAACTTCGAGCCGGAGCCCCGGCAACCCGTTAAGTCTTCCGCGGCTCCGTATCGGCATCAGCCCTGTTAGGCTCCATCTGGCCCTGACAAGCCTGGGTTTTAAAAATCTGCTCAATTAATCTAAGAAGTCAAATACCTTTACTGAACAACCCTACCTAAATAGTTCAACAAGACGAAAATAGTTTCATCACAACCGAACTTAAAGTGCGTCCTATATCAGGACGAGACCTGCAAACGATAGCTCATCAAACCAAGACATACGTCAGGTAGGTACCTGTTACTCACTTCACTTCATTATCCAACTCCATTAAACTCTGAAAACTGATTGATTTTCAACCTTAACGACCTAAGTTTGTATTGGTTCGAAGACACGACCGATATTACCTAAACATTGAAAACGTTAAAGTTTAAAATTGCTTATTTCCAAAGTTTGGTCTTGGGTCGCGTTGAATGTAAGCCGGTGTTGCGGGCTAAGTTGTTTTAGTAAGTAGGTGATAATGGTTATGTTATTAGATAGAGGTACTTGTGATGTTGTAAATGTGAATCGCTTCTTCGTTTCATACGTTTATTGACTGCACGTTATTGTATTTGTCATAGTTCATTCAACTTTGAAAATGTTAAAATATTGTTTTAAATTTATTAGGAAAATCTCATGTGGTAAGAAATGTTGTCAGTAGCTAAAGTAAACAATATGGAAGCTAACCTAGATCTTTCAGTTTTAATTCTATATGTAGTAGTACCTACATTAAAAAAAGGTCATTTCGCACGAAGCAACCAGAATAACCTGGTCTCATTAGACTAGGATTCTATTTTTTTTTTTTTTTTTTTTATGGCATAAGCCGGTAAACGAGCAGACGGATCACCTGATGGAAAGCAATCGGCGTCGCCCATGGACACCTGGAACACCAGAGGCGTTACAAGTGCGTTACCGGCTATTTGTGGATTAGGAGTTTGAGGATTGTTGGGGATTCAGGGATTGGGGAGATTGGGAAAGGGGGGGGAAATTGGGCCTCCGGTAACCTCACTCACACGACGAAATACAATGCAAGCGTTGCTTCACGTCGGTTTTCTATAAATTTAACATTCCATTTTCAACTCAACACCATTGAATAGTAAGACCTGTTTCTCGGTAATAAAGTCTCCAAGTTTCCAACATACCTTAAGCTGCTGCAGCTGTTCCTTGAAGTCTGACTCCGCGAAGGTTATGGACGCAGCGCACGTGATGTTGGCAGCTTCTAGCTGGGTAACCAGCTCGTTGACAGCCAACGAGTAGATCTCCTCATTCTGTGAGAATGCTGTTACGGTGTCCCAGCCGAATTGTCTGGTGATAAAGAAATTATTTGTCTATGTAAAATATGATTCCAAAAATGGTATAATTGGAATTTAAAGGTACTCCCTCACCTGGAGCATTTGCGTGTAATATAACGTTACAGATCCGAGCATTACGACAGTGAAGGAGGAGAACCGAGCATTACAATGCGCACTTTGTAATGATACAATGTGTAATATTTTGATACAACTCGTAACATCAATGCGCTCCACTTTCCCCAGCCCCCTGCCCGTCCGCTTCGTCTGACATCTTGCTATGAAATGCTCGTTAGTCAGGGAGGTATTATTGTGATGTAATGCTCAAAGTCGAATCAGTAATGTTACATTACACGTGAATGCTCCCGGTGAGGGACCACCTTTATAGATCTAAGATAGCTTGATCGAAAGTGCTATTTTAACTTCAAATTGTAACGTATTAACTTCAGTCTAAAGTCCGATTTAAAAATGTCTTCTTTGTTCTCTTAAGAAAGGTCAAAATTATTAACCGGAATTGATAACTGATTTCAGTCCAAAATCTTTGGCTAAAATAAAAAAGTATTTTATTTATACAACACTAGCGACCCGCCCCGGCTTCGCACGGGTGCAATATGCATGTATTATACATACAAACCTTCCTTAAGAATCACTCTATCTATTAAAAAAAACCGCATCATAATCCGTAGCGTAGTTTTAAAGATCTAAGCATACATACGGACATACAGCGAAAGCGACTTTGTTTTATACTATGTATTGATAGTAAGTACTTAAAAGCTTATTTATTACATACGTTGTTGCCTGGGTTTGACCGGCAGTATTTCATACTGTTTTTAGGTCCACAAGTGTTGTTCATGAACTCTTTAAATAAACTGCGCGTACGTGCCATAAGTGGATCCAAGTCATTAGTGTAACGAACTAGGCTCGAATTTTCAACCATTTACACTATAAAAACTATTTTAAAATGCCACGGTTAGGTACGTTTTTTGTGAAATAAAAAGTGTACGGTAAAATAAAACCTGTTATTCTGTAAAACTGTTTCCAGAGGCGTGTTAATGGTACCAAAAGGTTTCATCAATTGGGTACTTGCCAACTAGTCAAATACAATACTTTTTTCGAACTGTTAAAAACGATAGTTTTCTATCAATTTTGTACGAGATTGTGTATTGTGACGCCACTTTTTTAATGAATCGGTGACGCTTCGCCGATTGTCTTGTGGTACGATGATGCAAAGGACTAGGGGGAATCAAGTTGTGCAATTCCCCCGCATACTCAACGAAATGTATCCGGTGGAAAACCGATAGTCTTACGCCTGTGTTTGAGGCTTTGAAGCCGGGCCTCCACTAGCGCATCATCGTTAATAAGCCTCTTGGCTCGCCTCTCAATATGCTCTAACGCGTCCAGCTGATATTTATCCGAGACGTCCCAAAAATGTGAACGGAACTCCATACAGGATCGAACCTGTGGTTGTATGTATGTAACTCCCTCTTAACAAAGATTAAAAACATACCTACGCCTTCATCAATAATAATACAAAGAAAATATTTATACTTCTCTACCTAAAGGGCGCTGATACGGAACAAGTCGAGTATCATTGAGAGCTCGCATCCTGAAAGGTCAAAATACTTGGAAATTCTTTTCGAAATCACACAGGTCTCACTTTACAGGTACTTATAAGTTAGTCCTGAATATTGTCCCCTTTCAAAGTTGACAATGAACAGGAAATTATTTGTAACAATGAAATATTGGTTCAGGGGATTTCTTTTCTTAAAAAAGGGTCTTGTTGGTTGTTGTTGGAGTCAGCGTATGAAGGGCGAGAAGTGAATACGTTTAACCTTTCTATTGCTATTATATGAGACGAATATTAAAAAAAAATTGACTAAGATCCGATATCTTCGTGATTTCAATATTTGTTTTTTTTTATAATAGTAACGACAAGAGTTATAACCTCAGGTTTCCTCACGATGTTTTCCTTCACCGTTTGTCAGTGGCGTCCAGATAATCTTAGAAAGTACAAAAGTACATATAACCCAGAAAAAGTCACATTGGTATCTGCCGTTGGTAGGTTTCGAAGCACCTCGTGCATGAGAAGCGGGCGTCTTAAACCTTCGGGCCACCACGACATACATTATGGTCTAGAATAACACGTAGGCAGTAGTATAGGACAAGTATGTACTAGTATTAAAACAAAATATTTTTTAGCATTAACACAGTTAAGTTTCACTACTGTACAACGAACTATTCCGCCTTCCAACTCGAGGTACAAATCAAATGAATGTTGCACTTAATTCAGTTACAGTAGCAAGTTGCTGCAACAGTTGAGTAGCAGGTAGCATGATTACATTAAAACTCCGGCTTTTACAAAGCTAGTCTTTTAATAGTTGACTAGTCGTGTATTAAGTGAGTTAGGACCGTGTTAGTTTGATTACCAGAAAGAAAAAGGAGTTATGTGTGATGTGATGCAGAAATGTCTATGTCATACATTTTTTTCTGTTACCATGTTATTCATTTTGCAAAAATTAAAAACTATAATAAACACTGAATTGTTTTAATATAATATATTAAAATGAGTTTAAAAATTCTAATCCTATAAGTATTTTCTTAGTCAAAAGAGCATCTTCAGTATTTATATGAATTAATTAAAATATTTTATTCGCTTTAAGAACTGAATCACCTCTAACCTACCTTCAAACCTCTATCTCTAAACATATTTAAAAAAAACAATCAGCCGAACATAGTAGCCTCCTCCTTTTTTTAAAGTCGGTAAAAAGAATAACAAATGTAGTTTTTAGCGCGTCCTTCTCCACTCGAATCTACATTTTGGGACGAGCGCCTAGCTTCACTGACGGACTTACTGACAGACTATTATTTATTTTATATTTGTTAAAAGTACCAAATTATGGTTTAATTGAAATCAAAGTTTTTGGGTTTGAGTTTGACTGTATATTATTTAAGTTTTCTTTAACATAAACTCACCTCATTTCAAGTTTTTACACAAATCAAAACAAAGTAAGAAATAGTTTCGACGTTCAGTACAGTTGCAGCTCTCGCTGCGAACTTTACCAAGCAAATTAGATTTTCAACTGTTTGTTACGGGAATTTCTTTACTTTACTTATTCTGAAATTATAAGTGCAATGAATTGTATAGTAGGCCAAAGAAGTAGTTTTAAATGTAAAGATATTTCAGTATTCATATTAGGATAAAACATTAACCTATTTGGATTGACAATAGATTTTTTTATGGCCAGCCTGTCCGGGGAGACGGATCACCTGATGGTAAGCAATCGGCGTCGCCCCTCTGGTGTTCCAGATGTCCATATACCTGGAACACCATAGACGTTACAAGTGCGTTACCGGCCTTTTGAGGATTAGGAATTTGAGGATTGTTGGAGATTCACGAATTGGTGAGATTGGAAGGGGGGAGGTAACTTCACTCACACAACAAAACTTAACGCAAGCGTTGTTTCACGTCAGTGAGGCCGTGGTATCAATCTGGTCGAGCCGGCCCATTCGTGCCGAAGAATGGCACTGCCACACTTTAAAATAGTATAGTGTAGTAGCTTTAAACTGTCAAACACCAAGCGGTCACCGGTGACCGCAACCTATTGTTCTATAATTGTGTCTATAATGACGATACTCGACGAGTTAAATATAAAGAGTTTACAATATTTATACCAGGGCAAAAAAATTACAATCTATTTGAATTGACAATTGAATTTTAGATCACTATGATAAATTAAGTAAAAGATTTTGTCTTCTAGTTATTTATGTCATAGATCGTTAGATACAAATTACGTAATAAGTTTATTACAAATTATTTTAAAATAATTTCTATTAACTATTTTTTTCTACGACTTCGTAGACAGTCTACTACGCCGTAGTAACTTCGTAGCCACTACGTAGCCGCGTAGCCTATCGTTTATTCTAATATCGTGGAAGAATTTGATATTTTAGGCTTACCTGATGAATGCAATTCTGGCGGGATTATGTGAAGAGTCGGGAGCCACTGTTCTGCAGAAGAGGGGAAACTCTGTTCTGTCACTTAGAGCTGGTGACGTGGAGCCGAATGACACCTGGAGAAGTAAACAGATTCTTAGTAATTATTAATCATTTATTTCAGACTTAGAGTCCATAAACTGTTAGTAACAATGAGCTTAACCTATTATTAGTAATTTAATATAATATAAATAAACAAGACTAATTCTACTTTACAGCCGCGTGCAGTCTAATCCAATGGCCCAACATTGGACTATCCCATTTATCACACAATACGCTCAAGATGCTGTGTGAACTGCCACGCATTCTACTGAGGAGGGACGCGCAACGTTTGCGTATGATTGCATGGAACCCATCAACTCTGGCCTCTGCAAACATGGCTGATGCACTACAAAAACGTGGCAGTCCATTCAACATTCTGAACGCATTGTTGTATTGAACACGCAAGGCGCTGTATGCCCCCTTCGTATAGCCGACCCACAGAGCGCATGTGTAAAAGGACTGGCAAAAGGCTCTAAAGAGAGTAGTTTTGACGTCCCCTGTACACCGCGCAAATCTGCGGATCAGCATATTACATCGGACAGCCAACGCCCTGCGCTCACGTTCAATGTCCATGTTGTCATTGAGATCCTCGGTGACCCAGTGACCCAAGTACTTGAAATGAGATACTCTAGTCAATGGTGAATTAGAAATGGTAACTTGTGGCACATTCGAGTAACATTTGGTGCCCGCTTTAAAGACAAGTAGTTCACTCTTTTTAGCATTGTACCTGAGCCCATGAGCCGCCGCATAATCTTCACACTTTCTTAGGAGCCACCTGAGACCGCTGATTGACGGACACAGCAACACCATATCATCTGCGTAGCTTATATTATTGACACAAGTACCGTCAATGTGACACCCTACATGAGTGCCGCTGAGCTCATCAATCAGTCGATTGATGTACAAATTAAATAGGCGTGGTGAGGATATCCCCCCCTGTCTCACGCCACACTCTGGCCTATAGACATTTGATAGTGTTCCCGCCCATTTCACACTGTTTGTCTGATTGTTGTACCAATACATAAGCAACGAAATTACTGACCCGTCAACACTGCTCTCCTTTCTCAGCTTTTCCCAAAGTATGTCATATTGTACCAGGTCGAATGCCTTGGACAAATCAAGGAAGCACGCATTGACTGGTGTCTTCCTAGCTGTATAATATTGGACCGTCTGCTTGAGACAAAGAATCGCGGTTTCTGTTGACAGGCCGGGCCTAAAGCCGAATTGTGCATCATGAATTTTGATGTTATTCGCCATGTGTGTATCAAGCAGACAGTCCAACACCTTAGCTGTAATTGTAGCCAGCGAAATTGGCCTGTAATTAGAAGGGTCCGCAGTATCCCCAGTCCCATTTTTCACGACCGGCACAACAATCGTTTTTATAAGATCACTCGGCAGGTACGAGTGACTCATACAGAGTGTAAAAAACAGGGATAATACCCTGGGTAGGTGTACTCCAGCATGTCGCAGGTGCTCAACACTTAGGTGATCATGTCCTGGAGATTTACCTCTAACCATGTTTTTTATTACATTAGCAACCTCCCTTGTTGAAAACCTTACATTATTCTCCGAGGAGATATCCCCATTGTCGGGCACCGTTGACAGAACTGACGCCCCTGGCTTTGAAAGTGGCTCAACTTTAAAATGATCAACAAACATGTCTGCAATATCCTTAGAGTTACACAGTCCAGCCACACTCACTGGGAGACTCTGCTTGGGACTCATCTTACGGGTATTTTTCCAAAATTTTCCGAAATCCTTTGATTCATGACTTTTCGCTATTATATCTAATTTAATTTGGGATTGATTGTCACGACACCATTTCAATTTTGATTTAAAACAACTACGAGTTTCGCGCATTTTGCCATAGATATTTCCCGTAGTTGGCCTACCACATGAATTCCACATCAAAAACGCAAGCCGAGCCTCACAATGAGCGGTCTTTACATGTTTATTCCATCCTATCAATGGTTTATATTTTCGCTTCTGCATGGTAATAGCACTACGCTCAGCAGAGTCGGTAAGAATATAAATAACTTTTTTGTACATGTCATCTAAAATGGCCCTGTGTTGAGGGAGCTTACACATTTTATCAGCGCACTTAGAAAATTCTAATGGAAAATGTATTTCACGCAAACCTGAGTGACATAGATTCTGATACAATTTTATCTGGTTAATATCCCTTTCCCCCCATACAACAGTATTCGTGTATGCATCAAAATGTACAATGTTTGGTTCAACTAATTTAAGGTTACATTCCATTTGAATGGGTAAGTGATCAGACGAATAACAATCGTATAACACCTGCGCACTAATGATCGTACGCCGCGCGGTTTCTGTGACGACGCAGTGGTCGAGCCAGCGCTTGCACCCGTGAACTTCACTCACATACGTATACGCGTCATTTGGTAGCAGTTCGATATCCGCGCAAGCCCAACACTGTTCCTCACAGAATGTTACTAACTCCTTATAAAATAATTCATTTATATGAGCATTATAATCTCCTAACATATATGCGCACTGAATATTACTACTTTCTATAATGGAATACATTTCGCTCAAACAGTTAGTAAATTCAATTAAGTTGTCACTAGAATTGGTTGGCATGTATACCGAGAATATAAGAATATCACGATCTAATAGTTTCACTTTGATTGCCACAAGACGTACATTATTACACTGAACAACACTCACCGACGTAAATAAACTTTTCCGCCAAAGCAAGGCCACTCCTCCGTAAGGCCTACCCTGAAGTAGTCCAGCTGAAGTGTCGATGGCTGAAGTTCCGGTATAGGCAAAATCATTGTGAATGCTTCCCAAGACACCTAAATCATGTGGCATTAACCAAGTTTCTTGTAATGCAATCACGTCAGCTGATACACACAGCCGCCTAATACATCCCACCGACGATTTTACACCTCTGCAATTAAAACTGACAATTTTAACAGATCTATTCATTTTTAGTTGGTGTATTATTTTTATTCTGCGTCTCAACTGTGTCTTTTCTGTTTGTCCTAAAATGTATAAAACGGCGATAGGTAACTCCCTCTGGCCAAAAATCTTCATTCATAATAATATCTTCCTTTCGCTTAGGAATATAGATCTTATAGCTATGATAACCTTTAGTCAGTTTCATGTTAATTTTTTCGACATTGACATGTAAATCAGTTTTTTCTTTTATATATGCAATTATATCTTCTTTTGATACTTCTTTGTCGACATTTGATATATAAATGGGTATTATAATATCTGCAGCTTTGAATTTTATATCTGACTTTAAAATAGCCTTGCCTTTATTTCCCTGAAATCTTTTCTTTTTCTGTACTAAAATCCATTCATCATTTTTATCACACGGCGGCGGCTGCGTTTTAGTTTTCAAAGCATTGACAAACGACTTGTGTTTTTTAATGTGTTCTGTGTTCGGGGCGACCGTATGTCTCATTCCTGTCGGTTGCTCTGACGTAGGCGCCACAGTGGCCGGCAAGCGATGCGTCACCGCGCAGTCTTGCACGGTCGCCGTGTTTACACCTGCTACGGCGGTATCTGCAGTCTTACCGTTGGTTTGATTTTCTCGTCTACCCTCCGCCAAAGAAGAACTCAATAACGGACTATTTGGCATCGATAATACAGTATCATAACTGTTTGACTTTTCAAATGGGGAAATTACAAAGCCGCCTCTTTTAGTATTTACCTGGTTACCGTATTGATTATTCGTAATTGATGCTGCTTTAAGCAATTCCAATTCACTTCTTATACAATTCACTTGTTGTACAGTTGCATATTTCTCCTTTATTTGATTCATCTCATTTTGCATTCGAAGGAGGTCTTTAAGCAATCTGGTAACATCAACATGATCGAAAACTACTGGGGGAAGCTTATGTAGATCCCGCGCAACGAAAGTTGGTATCAGTTCAGGGTCCATTTCTTTTAGTAGACATATTATGTCGTCAATATCACATGCAGTTTTCTTTTTTCCTTTTCTTGTAATATTTCGCCTCGATGTAGGCAGAGAGTCAAATAGTAAACTCTTTGCCTGCGTTATATCATCTTCAGTAAAAGCACTCACACATATTCTACCAATACTTTCTTCGTCCATCACGTCTAGCTTGTTACAGACGAAAGACAGTACCTCGTTTATGACTACATTACAGTTGGAACATTTCAACACTTTCGATGACACTGTCGCCATCGTTTTACGTATCTACAATATGTATAGTCTAGAACTCGCGACAAAAGCACGTCCATTTACGATGATCGCGCGCGCGCAACTGAACAGTCTACATGGTGTTCTGTTTTTTTTTAGTATTTTTAGTGTAGAAGCATAAGTGGCACTATAACTTAACCACTTAACCACCAGGCTTCATTTAGTTCGACGTAGTTTGAATTTTAGTTGTATTGAAGTTGATTTATTTAGGTTAATTACACAAATTAATCAAACTTTTTGGATAGCAACAGAGGCCTTAGTACGGGTTTGTTTTACGTTTAAAGTAATCGTAACGAGTACGCGTTCGGCGCTCTGATTGGTTGGTTCATTGACGCCGGCCAATCAGAGTGCCGAACGCATACTCGTTTCGAATACTTTAAACGTAAATCAAACTCGTACTAAGGCCTCAGAATGAAAGTTAAACTGAAAATCATGCGTAGGTTTCATACAAGGTTATGCGCCTTAACTAAAAAGTATTAATTTGTACATATGTGATTAATAAATCATTGTTATAATTAAGCCACTGTCATTAATAATCATTCTATTAATGAACAATAACTACAACAATCATTCACTCGTGTGTGAAATTAATTACTATGATTGATAATCTCTGGGTAGGGTTGTCACTGTGCTACATGTTTTGTGTTTTATTTTTTATGGCATAAGCCGGTAAACGATCAGACGGATCACCTGATGGTCAGCAATCGGCGTTGCCCATGGACATCTGGAACACCAGAGGCGTTACAAGTGCGTTACCGGCCTTTTGGGGATTAGGAGGATCGTTGGAGGTAACCTCCGGTAACCTCACTCACACGACGAAACACAACGCAA